GATGCGGGTATCCCGGGATGAGAGGCAGGGAGCGGTCGGGGCTGAGTGAGGGCGGCAGCCGCCTGATTTCCCGGCACGTTGGTGTGATTCGCCTCCCCGGTGCCCAGGTCCGCCGGTGCTGGCGAGGCTGAGCCAGAGATACGGGCAGAATCGTTGTGCTAACTAATGCCGCATGATCTGTCTTCTCTGCTGCTCCTTAATGCACTTCGTGTTCTGGTTATTGGCGAGATTTTCATTTCCACAGCAAACAAGTGCAACAGGCTTTTCCTTTTTTTTTTTTTTTTTCCTTTTTTTCGTCTTTCATAGAATCACAGAATGGTTTGGGTTGGAAGGGACCTTAAAGATCATCCAGTTCCAACCCCCCTGCCATCAGCAGGGACACCTTCCACTAGACCAGGTTGCTCAAAGCCTCATCCAGCCTGGCCTTAAACACTTCCAGGGCGGGGGCATCTACACATTCCTTGGGCAACCTGTTCCAGTGTCTCACCACCCTCACAGTGAAGAACTTCTTCCTAATATCTCATCTAAACCTCCCCTCCTTCAGTCTTTCATTCCTCTGTCTCTGATTCTTACCTAAAATACAGTAGTATTTGGTGTCTGCACTGAAATTCAATAGAATATGCTTTATTTAAAGATTATGGTTGTTTCACGAAACTCTTGTATGTGATTTTTCTTCTCTCTTTATTTCAGGCCCCTCCAAGGCATTCCTTGCTCACAATGTATAGAACAAAAGTCAGTTTGAAAGACCGTCAGCAACTTTATAAACTAATAATTAGTCAGCTGCTATATGATGGATACATAAATATTGCTAATGGCTTGATAAATGAGATAAAGCCGCAGTCGGTCTGTGCACCATCTGAACAACTGCTGCACCTAATTAAATTGGGTAAGCTGGAATGAAAAGCTAACATAGAAGTCCAGTTTCTAAATCCTTAGTTTAAGTCTTTGTGAATTAAGAGGTTAGTGTTACTGAAAAGACATTTTTTATGCAAAGATTATGTATAGTAATAGCATAACACTGTGTGTGTTTAGATACAGCCTTTGTCTCCATGGCAGTTTTTGAAGGGCATTCTAGCTCTGTGTTTCATCCTTTAGTATGCATTAAAAGCAAAACTGATCACTGAGTGTTGTCAAAAATCTGTTTGTTTGAACTTCTGTAACGCCTAAGAATACCTGCTCAGGGTCCTGGGTGACTGGCAACCTTCTAAAAATATGCCCCAGTAAACAGGATCACTGAGTCCACAGACCTAATAGAAAGTTGACCCACACAGTTCTCTGCCAACTTCCAAAATATTTCCTATATGATTCTTCCTGACAGTGTTGGAAAGGGAGCAGGCCCTTCCACTGGCAGTCTCTTCCCCTTATATATCAGTCTCAAGAAAATAAGCTTCACAGTCTAGGGTCCCAGCAAAGGTATCACCTCTTCTCTCTCCATGTAGCTTTCTCTTTGAAAGTACATCTCTGTGTAGTCAAAATAACTGAGCTGCTGCTGAAACAAGCTGACTAGCCATAACATCATGTCTTCTCTGTATTGTAACTGAACTGGTTCTGCTGCCTGAACTAGTTGAGTTCCAAGGCTATAAATATGAGAAGCCTTGTGTCTGTTTGAAATAAGAATGCTAGACTTGCAATTTGTAGATGAAAGCAATAAAAACTTTTCCATTGCATTTGATCAGTTGATGATCACAGTTGGGCACATAGCTGATAATTCTTGTGTGTCCCCTGCCACCACTTCCAGTGCTGAACTGTCTTTGTTCTGTAGATGCATCCTGGAAATAAAAAACAAACAAAAAAACCCTGTACAGTGGGTGTGAAGAGGAGTCAAAATTTTCATTTGCAATGCTGGGATAGTTATTTGTGGAGTAGGTTGGTTTTTTTCCTTCAGTGCAATAGAACAGAAAGGAAAAGAATTGGTAAATGCTTCAGTTTTTTAATCTAAATCTCATGTAATAGTGTTGGGCTTGTTGCTGCCTCTGTGCAAAGCTGACTAGAGGCCTGTTGATGGTTTCAGTAACTGACTGTCAGTGCATTTATCAGTACTTGCCATCCTACAATGTTTGCTGGTTGTATTTCCACAAGTTAATTTTGAGAGCTGCATCCAGCTCTAGTGTAGCCAAAGTACCTCTCATTTCTCACGAGAAGTACTTCTGTGTAATTAAATCTGCTCTGCTAGCTTAGCTTTGTTCAGTAGGGGCTACCTCTCTTAAAACCTGATGTGTAGCTGTTACAGAAGTCTGTAGCATAGATCTGGCCACAGCCTGTCTGTCTGAGGAGAAGATTAACCTGGTTTAAGTGCAACAACTTCTCTCTTTTCAGGAATGGAGAACGATGACAGTGCTGTTCAATATGCAATTGGACGGTCAGATACGGTAGCTCCAGGCACAGGAATTGACTTGGAATTTGATGCAGATGTACAGACCATGTCTCCTGAGGCTTCTGAATATGAAACTTGTTATGTCACATCTCATAAAGGACCTTGTCGTGTAGCTACGTACAGCAGAGATGGACAGTTAATAGCCACAGGATCTGCTGATGCCTCAATAAAAATTCTTGATACAGAGAGAATGTTGGCCAAAAGTGCGATGCCTATCGAGGTAAAACATGAATTGAATTGTAGCCACTTTGTGAATTCTTGAGGTGCTGTCTGTTTCATGCCATGTCTGTGCCTTGTGGCTGGCTCATTGGGTTGGACTAAGTAACGGTCTCGCCGTATTTCCTACTCCCAACAGCGGCTCATAAAGTACCCTTGAAGAAAAGGAAGAAGAAATAGGGCAAGTATACCTGTGGAACTTCTGGCAGCAATCTAGAGAATTGAGCCAGAAATTGCTTCTAATAGCTGTTGATAATTGCTATATGTATGAACACATTCATTTTTGAACCCACTTACACTTTTGGCCTCTACAGTCTCCAGTGGCTGTGTGTTTCAGAACTGTTTCACAGATTACATATTTATTTGCTTTACTTTTTCTCCCATACAGTTATCAGGTAGCAATTTAAAAGTGGGTTATTTTGGGGTTTTTTTTTGCACAGAGCACACACCAGATTCTCAGCAGTGTCCTGCGTGAGGTAAAAGTTGTGGTTTTCTCAGTTGGTTTAGCTTCCCTAAATTCTTACAGCAATACAGTGTTTTGATTTGGACTGTTTATGAAAGTGATATGTTTTCTTGCACCAGTTCTCTGCTACTGAAACTAGTTTGTCCTTTAGCAAGTCCTTCGTAAAGATACAGGGATCTTGTCTGATAACAGTATATAATGGGCCTTCAAATAATTAAGATAGTGACTGTGTGCCTGGTCACGTGTTGGAAAGGTACCTGGTGTTTGGCTGCTCTGGCAAGCACAAAATCTACTTGTCCTGTCAAAACAGTTCTGCTTTCTAACACTCTAACTTGTTGAATGTTCTTTGTAGGTCATGATGAATGAGACAGCGCAGCAAAACATGGAGAATCACCCCGTTATTCGGACTCTGTATGATCATGTGGATGAAGTTACGTGTTTAGCTTTTCACCCAACCGAACAGATCCTAGCATCTGGTTCAAGGGACTACACACTTAAATTGTTTGATTATTCAAAACCTTCTGCCAAAAGAGCCTTCAAATATATACAGGTTAGATACGAGTTCAGAGCAACCAAAGCTTGAATGTATAAGTACTGGAGGTATCAGTGAGCTGAATTGTGTGTGGAGGAGGATGCAGCTACAAAATTTGCAGACATTGTGGTAATTGCAGTAAGAGTTTGTGCATAATGGATACCTGTAGTCTTTAAATCTAGTCCTTGTCTGCTTTTTCTTAATCTAGACTGAATCTAGCATGGGTAACTTTGAAATCAATTACATTATCTTTGTTTTGGAGGAGAGTTTGGCATTATGTGGTGGTGGGCTTTGGGGTGTGTGAGTGGCTGACAGCCTCCTGTCACCTCTGTGCGACATCCCCGATATGAGCTGGCACTGCAGGCTGCTCTAGGACAAAAACTATGATACATTTAAAGGTAGCATGTCATTTTAGTCCTGTAAGAAACCTTTTCTGTTTTGTAAAACCAGAACACATTGTGCTGCTAACTAGTTTTTTAGCACTTCAATGCCACCAGAATTGAAACTTCCATTTCAGATTTTTTTCTTTCTCACACCAATAATGTCTTTTTGATCAAACAGGAAGCAGAGATGTTGCGCTCAATTTCTTTCCACCCTTCTGGAGATTTCATACTCGTTGGTACCCAGCACCCTACTTTACGACTGTATGATATCAATACTTTCCAGTGTTTTGTGTCTTGCAATCCTCAAGATCAGCACACTGATGCTATATGTTCAGTAAATTACAACGCAAGCGCGAACATGTACGTCACAGGAAGCAAGGATGGATGCATCAAACTGTGGGATGGTGTTTCAAATCGCTGTATCACTACTTTTGAGAAGGCACACGATGGAGCTGAAGTCTGTTCTGCTATTTTTTCCAAAAATTCAAAGTATATCTTGTCAAGTGGAAAAGACTCTGTAGCTAAACTATGGGAGATATCCACTGGTCGGACACTGGTCAAATACACAGGTAGGTGGCAGGTGACCTTCCAGGTACCTTCTTTTTCAGGTACTGACCCATGGCAGGGGTGGCAGTGTTGTCAGAAGAATAGTAATTCTTGAAGGCCATGGGAGACTGCTGCTTTGAGGATAAACTGCCTGAAATTTTTGAAAATGCTTAATATAGACTAATTCCAGAAGAGAAGCTGTGATTCTTGTATGCCAGTCAGTGTAAATGTATTGAGTCTGAGTAGATTTTGGAGGCTTTTCTGACATGATTACTTCATTGCTTTGGAGGGAAGTTACCACGAAATTAGGGAAAAGTAAAAAGGAACACTGCCTTAAGGACTAGGACTTTTGTGCAGAGGGTTTTGTTCTCTAGTTTTCTTTAGTGTGTTTTAGAAACAGTGATTATTAAAACAAAACAGCATAATCACTTTTCTTGTTGGTGATCATTTTGATTTTGACTTTTTCTATTTATTGCTAGACTAGGGGCAGAGTTTAAACGGGAAGGGTCAGAACTAACACCTAATCCATTTCTGGCTCGAAGAGGCCCCTTTCCTGCAGAGTACCTGCCGAGACAGGGGGAATTGAACCTGCTTTGGGACATTTGTTTTAACTTTTAGACTCTTGTGCAAAAGGTGGCTCTAGTAAGCCATGGCAATATTCTGAAAAATAGTTACAGCTGGTTTGTTTCTTTTTTTTTCTTCCTTTTTTCTTCTTTCTTTTTTCCCCAAGGATGCAGTGTATGCAAGGTAGTCAGACTTGAAACAGCTGACAGTACCATGCTTTGATCTCAGCAGGACTTAAGAACTGGTGAAGGATGTAGAAGCTTGGCATATGATAGCAGCTGTGTGACAGGGAAGCTTTTGGGTCAAGCAGTAATGTGGTTAAGTATCAGGAGTCGTAGCCTAAAAGAAGAAAGGATGTTGAAGATCTTGTGTATCAGCTTTTGGGATGTGTGTGGTCCTTTTTTGTACACTGGGTCTGTGTGCTCCCGACCAGTAGGGTGCAGCACCTTCTTAATAAACTTTTGCAAAATACCAAGTAGGACGCAGGTGTGTGCATTGCAGAGTAAATGCCTATATATGAAACAGACATTTCATTTGAATCATAGAATCATAGAATGGTTTGGATTGGAAGGGACCTTAAAGATCATCTAGTTCCAATACCCCTGCCATCAGCAGGGACACCATTTGAAGGGTATGAAGGGAAGGCATGGCCAAGGTAGGTTGGACAATGTGCCATATGATATATACATTAAAACCAAAAGTTGTCATTAGTAATGAGAATCTGTGTATTCTGCTATCTGTGGTCTTTCCCCTGAGTTACAGCTGTAAGCCTCATACAAAAAATATAAGGCAAAAGTGCTCTTAAAATTAAGTGATTGCACTCATGCCGAGTGGAGTAGTTAATCTTTCTGCCCTCTAAGAAATTGTAGAATATACCACGTATATAGCTACAAGAGAATATTGAGTTACCTGTTGTATGTGGAAGTGGTAGACTAACTGAGAAAAGAAGACTCCTTTGTAGACTGCAGAAATTGATATTTAGCAGAGGTTTATTCTTAGGTCTTTGGAAACTTCCTAAAACTGATCCTATTTGGGTTAATATTTTGCTGCATATCTTTAGGAGCTGGTTTGAGTGGACGGCAAGTACACAGGACACAAGCTGTCTTCAACCACACAGAAGATTATGTGCTGCTTCCAGATGAAAGGACCATAAGTCTCTGCTGCTGGGATTCAAGAACTGCTGAACGGAGAAATCTTCTTTCTCTTGGGCACAACAGCATTGTCCGTTGTATTGTCCATTCTCCTACCAATCCCGGCTTCATGACCTGCAGTGATGACTACAGGGCTAGATTTTGGTACAGAAGGTCAACAACAGACTAAGGGACAACTTTATAAAACAGTGATTATCCAGATTCATGATATCATCTTGTGTTGATTGTACTGCCAGCAGATGCCTAGATGAAAGCTGTGCTGTGTCTGTTTAATTCTGTCACATGTGGCAGAAAAATATCAAAATACTGAGACGTAAGTTTTGCCCCACGCTAATTTTTTTATTAGTGTGTGTGGCATTAATTTCTGTAAGTCGTCACTAATTGTGCTCAAGGAGTTGGGGGGAAGAATAAAATGATCCTTGCAGGAAGGATTAAACTTGTTTTCCTGTCTTTCTAAATCCTGCAAAAGATAATGTGACTGTATCTTGCTCAAACTGGGCAGTGTGAGCCAGTTTCGCTCTGCATTGTGTCTGTGCAATCCCGCTGGAGTCTGTTTGAAGAATGGATTACACAAGTAACAGCAGAACCTGGCAAATATTTTAATGAAGCCTTAAGCTGCCTTCAGTTCTGATTCATTTTTTGTAAAGCTCCGTTTTGTATCTTTTAGTCTGGGGTTTTTTGGTGGATTTTTTTTTTTTTAATTGGCCAAGTGGATATTCAATTCTGAGCCAGTCTTGTGCCATAAGAATTTGAAACAGGATTTTAAATTGTTTAGATGAATCAAGAAATGGTGTTCTAGTTCTGGTATTAAAACTCAGACTTCAAATTTCGTCTTCTTTTGAATTTATCTTATCAAGTGGGACCTCAAAGTAAATTCATGGTATTTCAAGGACTATCCACATTGCAACTGTAAAATGCAACAGTGCTGCAGCATGTGAAAATGAGAATAACTTTGCCAGAGACCTTTCGTATCCTCTCAAAGAAAAAAACTGTTGTGCATATTAATTTTTGTATATGTACCTCAGAAATGTCACTTTGCTTCATTTTATTGAGAAATTTTCATTCTATGTCTGTTACACAGCACTTGAATTACATTCATTTTTTTTAATTATCCAAAAACCCAGACTCACTGTTTCTTCTCCCTGTTAACCTCTCATAGTCCCAAGTTTCCCAGACCTCATCCTATCCAACAGAATTACAGATCATTAAGAAACTCTGTGCTTAAATCTTTTGTAAGTTTGAAAATTCATTACTTATTTTTACAGGTAGTTGCCTGTGCAAAGTTTTAAATGTGTTCATCAAGCATCCTTGTGCAGTGCTCTTCGGCTTCGCATTTGGGAGGCTTCTTTTAGTCAAAAGTTGGCTTTCGTGAGGATTTTTTAATGGAAGATTGTTCTTACTGCTGGATTAACTTCCCATTATGACCGATGAAGTGTCTTGTTAAGGGCTGATGAGGGTACAGGTTTTGTCTGTATTTAAATAAAGGTTACCTGTTAAAAAGTTATTTAATATATAAAGAAGGAAATGTGTTAGTTTTCTATATAACAAAGGAGAAATTAATTGAATATTGGAAGGCTCTGTTAACGCTTGATTAATTCATTTGTTGTGTTACATCTGAATCAAATACAACTGTAAATTTACAGTGTAGAATGGGGGATGGTTTTTTTAAGAGGTATAGGACAAAATTTAATTTTCTCTTAAAAAGCTACTGCTCTGCAAAACAGTTCTTAGACTTAGCGATTCTCTTAGCTCCTCCTCTGCCTCCCTTCAAGTTTCTAAAATGTTAGAAACATGAGAGACATGAGGTAGCAGTTCTGGTGACTGTTTTGGTGGAGAAACAAGGACAACCAGAGCATGGTGAGGGGGAAAAGGGAAGTCCTGACACAGTTATTAATGCATCCTGTGCTCGCTCAGCAGCAGCAGCCCTCTGCTATGAGAGCTAGCCTGCTAAACTGACAGCAGTGGCAATTTATTTTATTATTTTTTTTAATTTTTTTTGAGTGCACATGTTTCAATTCTGTTGAAGAAGCCATGACTAATGTGTTTGCTGCTGGTGTTTGGAGCAGTCTATTTTTAAAACACTGTTCTGGCGTTTTATGTATTAAACCACTGCTGTGGTTGATAAGCTAGCAGCATGCTAGTTTTCACTTCAAGCTTCCTTAATTCTGTGGTCTTTTAACTTGCAGTGTAGAAATAGTTTTATTCCGTTAACACAAAAACATCCTGATGTTGGCACCTTCCTTTCTTTCTTTTCATGTTGTGTATCACCTTGCTTGAGGCCAGAAGTTTGGGGTTTTCCTGTTTAAGAAGTGAGGGCTGGAAGAAACTTAAATCATCCTAATTAGGTAGATAACACAACCCCAGAGTGAAATAGTTTAGTACTACAACTACAGTGGTATTCTGGTAGTTGAAGGTGGTTGATTGGGGAGAAGAATGAGAGGGGACAAGGCTGCTATACAGTGTTCAGAACAAGCACGTGTGGAAGTACCGTAAAGAAGAGCCGTAGCTGCATTTTGAAGAACAAGTTTGTGCACACGTGTAGTCATCCTATTAGATCTGCATTTGATGGAAGGGGAATAAATCCTTGTACTGGTCAGTTCTCAAAGTATCTAAGTAAACATTCTTCATATGATCATGATTACTGCTACAGTCAGAGAAGCTTCACACCTAGAAGCTGTATTTGATCAATTAAAATTCTAGTAGCTGCTTGTCGTCCATGAGTTTTGTGGGTTGTACTTGGTAGCTCCATCCCAGTGAGCTGCCCTGCTCAAAGAAGTACAGCCATACTCAGGATTGATCACCTCTTCAAGAAAGTCCCCATCACTTGTCTAAAGGTCTGTTGTGTCCATCTGGCATGTAACCTACTCTTGCCTGTCCTCGGAAGAAGCTATCATGGAAACGTGGCGAGGTGGTGCCACAGCTAATGCATTAGGCCAACGAGCTGATGTGAAAGCAAAGCAACTTTGGAGACAAATCATTATTACAGGTTTGTATCTTTCAGCTTTCAGCATTCCTTGGCGCACTGCCTTGGCAGTCAGTAACTGGCACGCAGCTCCATGGAAAGTCTTTCCTAAAAGGCTGCTTCAGGAATTAGGCTGGTTTGCCACCCATTGAAACAGGTTTCAGACTTTCTGCTTAAGAGGAGTACTGCTCTGGGATCAGTATTTCTCATTTCCTGCACACAGAGGCTGTCTTTCCAGCAGAGCCGCCCTGTGAGGCTGAATCCCAGGGACAACTGAAGCGCAATAAAGGAGAAGTAGTTCAGGTAACTGTAGTTCAGGTTGGGAAGTATTCTGTGTGGCTGTAAGGGACCCTTCAAACATGCTGCAGCACAGCTCTACTCAGTGAGCAGGATGTTGCAGGACAGGAGCCGAAGCCCACGCATTTGCTTCTGTACGTGTGCAGACCTCGGTGCAGCCAGGAGGTCTTTCACCCAGCGCTCATCCCCAGGTAGAGATGGTAACACGTAAGGTTTTCACAAAGCCCCTTTATAACAAAAAATTATATCGATGCCTTAAAAGTTGAGACAACTTTGAAAGGTGTGAAAAATGTCCTCGAAATCCTGAATTGATAGGATCGCGGTCTTATTTCTATCAAGCATTGTGCAGCCTGTTGTGGCACATAGTATTCTTGTATTCATCACATTTCTAAAAGAGGAAATGAAGGAACATGTAGCAAAACAGAAGGGTGAGACTTCTGACTGTGGTTAATTGCGACAAGTTGGTGACAGAGAGATCAAGGAAAATTCCACTTGCAGACAGACTTTTTTTCTCACTTTTAGGTGCTAATAGGGTTTTTTGGGTTTGCATTCTGTTTTTTTTTAATCTTATCTGCTGTCAAAGAAATTAGCTTTTGTCAGAATCTTTTCTACAAGTTCCTAAATGCTTTCAGGGGTAGAGCTGTCAGATGTGCTTTCTTGAGACGCAGTTCCTAACACACAGTGACTGTGCAAAGCTGAAGTCTCCATCCTGCCATAATTCTCTGTATTGCTCAAAGTGTCGCTGCTGGTGAATAACGATGGATAAAAACCTCAGAATCAACAGAACTGCAAAGGTATGTCTGTTTTTTTTTTGAGTACAGCATATAAACAATTAAGGAAAAAAGTGTCCTAGAGTAGGGTTTGGTGTTTGAATTCACCACGATGTTTGGTGATGTTGGAAATATTTAGTACTCTCATCTCGAGGTGGACGGAGGGCTCTGTACAACGCTGGGGTCCTTGTGCTTTTTGTTGTGACAAAACTATTAACTGGAGGAAATGTCTTCTTAGGGAGGACTGTGAATAAAGTAGGATTCCCAAATACCCATGAATAAACACATTTGTGAAATAATAAATACACAACCTCAAGGTTCCACCTGTCCTACTGCTATCCTGCAGTGACATTAGAGACACGGCTATATCGTCAGAGACTCAGTGACAGTCTGGGTGACCTGTTGCATGGTAGATAATTTCCCTACCTTACATGCAAAATGGAAGAAATTTTGAAGTACTATATTAGTTTATTTTGAAAGACTGGAACTAGTTTATAAGGTTTTTTACATTTATTTGTGTATTCATATTGCATCCAGTATAGTTTTACACATATACAGAGATCAAATAACCTGCTGCAGCTCTAAGGGTTAGAGAATGCTGAAGTCTTGATTCAAGGTCAGTACCTTGGTTGTCCTACCATCTGCAAGTCTAATAAGCAGTGTAATGGAATTGTTATTTTCATCCTGGATTACGATCTCAGTGTTTATTGTAAATAAACTGCCTCCTGGAAATTTGATACAAAATATAGTGGGGGGGAATAAAGTTTAGGACTAGCTTGATGAGTTATTCTTCTGCACTCTCATTTTTCCTTGAGGCATGTTAAGATGACTTTGTTACATTAAGTCATCAGAAATTGATGCAGGATATTTTTCATTTCTATACATAGAAGAGAGTGTCTAGGTATGATATTTTCAGTTTTCCTAAATGGATTGCCAATGGCTAGATAAATTTAATGGCAGCAAGCTGATTTCCTGTTCTGTTGTGAGATCTTTAGACAAACCCAGTCAAATTCAGCTGAGTAACAACTGAAAAAGACAAATTTATTTCTGCTGTATAATTTATGAACTGTTTGTAAGGTTCCTGTTACCTAGCAGTACTGTTTGCTAGAATACTTGAATGTTATACTTAATATGAAAATACTAAGAATGTATTTTTTCTGCTATCTGGACTTCTTGAAGCACCACATGGCAACCATGAGCAGCTTTACTGTGACAGGTAATGCTCTGCGATTACCACTGTGCCCCAACTATTCCTCCTTCACAAGGAAAACCATTTCTGACAATGAATTCAGTAAATAAGCGCAGCCAGAGAACTGATGTTGTTTCTTTCTTGTTGCATATACACCTACAACATACCCTGCACAGGAAATGTTGCACCTCTCGATGCACAGTTAGCACGATGGGCTGCGCTTGGGCAATAGTTCTTGTACTGTTTTGACAACATTTTCTGTGCTGTTGCCAAAGGAAAAATAGGAGCTTTTTTTAAACACACATTACGTTGATTACGTTGTCTCCCCTTCCAAAATGCCCAGTTGACATGTTCCCATCTTGTCCACAAACAATTGTGTGCAGAACGAGATGAGATGTGTTTCTGTGAGCTCCTCTGCACCTGGGGACACGTGTACCTACAGCCCC